GGGGGATGGGAATTACCAGAAAATAACTAGGGACGTAATTTTGCGGTTTTGGTTATACATAGAGGATATCACATAGCCGCGCGGAGATACGAAAGTTCTCTTCTCGTGTTGAAAAATTTTTCACGGGTTCGAGCGCAGCGAACAAGTGAAGTATTTTGCAACACGAGAAGAGAAATTTCTTTAACACAAGAAGAGAAATTTCTTATCTCCAAGCGACCATGTAATGTTCTATTTATTATATAAACACCAATAAGATGCCAAACCATTTCAGTAAAATGCTTTTTTTCTGAGAGAGGCGCTATTGTGGTCTTCCCATCATGTGTAAATTTCCCCCCAAGTATCTCTTCTGCTTAGAATTAAACCGATAGCGTGGCATTCCAGACTCCCGACAAGCCCATGTCTCCTCATCATCTCATCGGGGTGGCTGCCTACAGCCTCAGTACGCTCTGTTTCACTGACCTTCGCTCTGTCAAGTGGTGACCCATGAGACTTGGCCCGACGGAATTCGTGTTTACCGTACATAAAGTGCTGCTCCAGAGCGGCTCACTCGCCCCATGTAAGGTAATCCATATTCCTGAATCTAGGAAATTCAGAATCCTTGGATTTAGAATCCGGAATTTAGCTCAAGGAGTCCGGAATCGAATTTCCACTGACAAAAATCCGGAATGCAGTACCTATAATCCGGAATCCACAGCGTAGAATCCCAAATCCTACACTGTCTAGGATTACCTTACATGGGGCGAGTTGCCAGCCGGACAAAATTATCGTGAACCGTATGAAATCGCTCCTACAATTTCAAAAGCTTTCAAACATCACTCATGGCCACAAATAACGAAATGCGCTTTCGTTCACAAGAATTTTTATAATTATTACATTTATGGTTAAAATTTATTACAATTATTGGGAACCAGATTATTACATGATTTATAGTTAGTAATTTATTACATTAATTAATTTATGGTTGATTGTTATTACACATTTTTGGCTGATATTACACTTATAATTAACCTTTATTACATTTTACAGGTAATGTTAATTATATTCATGGTTGATTACATTTATAGGTTGCCACACATGACTGAAATGGGGGTTTGAAAGGTCTCATGGGGTTGAATGCAGGCGGTTGCCCTCTCCGCCTTCTTTATCGCCCCTCGGCTTTATTTCCGACCCTCTGTCGAGTCTACCCCGAGAAGACATCATGAGTTCATTTTTTTTTTCTTTCCACAAAATCATTTAGTGATATCATTCCTGTCTATAATATAATTTCCTAAAAAAGCCGTTTATGACTTCAGCAGGTGTAAGAAAAAAATGTTCGAATTTCAGGTTCTCTTTCCATACAAGGAGCCTACTTCTTTTTTTACCCAGTTTCAGTTACGTTCTTGCCCTTGTTCGCTTTATTCATGTAAAAACAACTTGCCCAGAACCTTAAATGCCAAATGTTCATGAAAAGATCCTGAATGAAAACTGTACTTATGCCGGACGAGCGGAGGAGGGTTATGAGGTTATGAAATAGCCTAGCTGTACACTACTAAAACTCTTTGGTTACACATGTTGTAAAATTGCATTCACTAAGCCAGGACAAGGTTAGTGGTACAAACTGAAGGGATCTCGATCTTGAGTTATCTTTAAATCTTGGCTTGACACTTAAAGGATCATATATACACAAAACATCTTACTCAATTACTCATTAAGCTGCACAGCATTTGGGCTCTCCACAGAAACTAAAACATACATAGATTGAATCGGCACCTCGATAATTCAAGCACCATAAAAAAAAAAAACAAAAAAACAAAAAACAAAAAAAATTATCGTTCTTCTCCAAAGATACTCACCAGAGACCTCACGAAACATATGGCATTCAAAACACAAGTAAGAAGAAAATTAATGCCATAGAAAGGTCAGTATTAAGATTGTTTTACCATTTTTAACTCGGCTTTGGCATAAAAAGAACGATGAGCAAGTTTTCGGGAAGTTGCGCACCACACATCTTGGTTAATTGCAACCTTTACTATTATTTTCCCGAACTTCAAACTCACCTTGATGAAAATGAAAACTCCCAAGAAGGGCATTTTTATTACAAGCGTTTTTTAATATTATTATTATTATTTATGAGGCAACCCTTAACAACATTAACAAGAAACGAAACGTTTAATTTAGAGATTTTAACAATAGGCCGATCTTTGGGAAGAGAAGTTTTAAAAACGTGTAACAAGCTACATTAACTATAGAACAGCAACACAAGCAGACGGTCCTCAGACTGTCAGTGCAAGCAGGGATATGGCTGTAATAAGGAGACCAAGGTGAAGAGGAAAAACTGCTTTGTTGCCAACGGATCCTACCACTTTGCAGCTAGATTCTGGTTGGTAAGGTGTCATGATCAGGGGCTTAGGTTTGACCAAATCGCTCTGAAACACGGAGACGAATATTGATCAGGTAAAAAATTCTATTTTTTATTAGATTTATTTAGCAACGAGTCTTTTCCATTGACTTCCTGAGATATATACTGACCTCCACTTTGCACTTAGCCCATCTAGTTTTGTTCTTTTTTAAATTGTTTGTTTGTGTTTTGCTTTTTCTTTTTTTTACAAACTATGATGTGTGGCTTCTCATGACAATCTGGACCGGGAAAACTCGTCCAGACACAATTTGATATTCTTGGCCAGCTTGCTTTCACTGCTGTTCTCGCGATGCTTTTGTAACCTCACTGATATAGTTTAAAACAAGGCGGGTCAGAGACATCACCTCGATTTATATACGTTTGCTTACTGGCCTCGAACGTACACACAAAGTCATACCCCACCGTGGTACAAAGGGGGGCCTTTATGCCCTCCCCCCCTTTCCCCTTGAGTTTTTTATATGTTGCAGTATTTCGAAACGATTTTGCCTTCAGTGGAAAGCCTTTCATCTTCTCTACAAAATGAGGTATATTTTATGGGTTGTGGCGCTGCTGGAGGTATGTGACGTCACCAACCATGGTCGCCATCTTGGATTTTATAAAGAATTAGAAATCAAGTAAAAACATTGAGAGTTAATAATTTTTTGCGCTTAATTTGTAAAATAACACATAAATAATTACTTTGCATTATTTTATCCACAAGTTTTACTTTTATTGTTGGAAAAAGTTGAAAAAACATGCATGTTTACTTAAAAATGTCTTGACCACCTGCTACTTATGACGTCATATCTCGTAACCATAGTACCCGACCATCCCTAAAGTAGTCTTAAAATTCGTGCGCGGGATAATAAAGGAACAGCTACAGAATAAGCTATGTTACCGGGAAAAAAATGAAGTTGGATTAAGTCGAACTCAGGAGCCCGTCCTTCGACCGTTTTCCCTTTTTACTATACGTCCGTTTTTACAATTTTATAGCCGCTGGGATCTGGGTATCATGAAATAAAAGTTAATGAATTACCTGACTGAGACTGAGCATGAAGCGATAAGACAAAGGCAGCAAACTGAGGATCACGGAAAGGTTATCTTTGCGAGTGTTTTATTATTTTTTTTTGTGGGGGTGGGGGGGTAAGAATCCCACATTTAAACATGCACCTTGAAAAGAGTGGACGATTAAGCGTTCTGTTGAAGATTTGGAACTTTTCGATGATCAGCGCCGAAAAAGTGCCAGGATCATTTGATTTTTGTCATCACCGGAGTGGATTTCGCTAGTTAAGCACCGCGTGCAAAAGCGATGACCTAAGAAGCAACTAACGAGGAATGCTTCAGTTCCGAAATTTGAGAAACTGCAGTTTTCATTTACAACTGACTTATATCACCATGAGAGTTGCCTGATAAAACTGGCACTTGAAAAGTTGAACAGAAGACAACAGTGGCTCGACCGTGAAGCTAACTCAAGAGTAATTTGCTAACGGAGGAATTTGTGACATCGCGCTCCAGTCCAAAGACCCACTTTTCTCAAGATAAAACAAAATGGATTGTACCTGCGCCAAAAGAATTATGACTGACTAACAGGACAATTCTCAGCAGTTAATGCAGAAGTTTAGGCTCAAATGTCTCCTTCGAATTCGCATCTGTAGATCACTTTTTTGCGAGAAAACAATCGCTGAGCCTGACGTCACAAGACATAGCAGGGAATCATCACACTAGCTGACGGACAAAACAACCACAAGGACTACAAGTATTTATTCAGATAAAGGCATTTCGGAAAAAAAAACCTTGAAAAACTAGAAATTTGATTAATATTGAGTCATCTAGCCGAAATAAGAACCTTAACGCTCAAAAAAACGAATCGTGTCAGAACTACAGACTGCAGGTAGTAGTTAATCATTATGCATGTAACAGACCAGCTTCATGGCCTCTTACTGTGAGACAAGCAACCAAAATTAAGATTAACATAGTCAGAGTTTAAAACTCTCCACAGTATAATCTACCCACTAGAAAGAAAAAAGAGAAAATCTCTGAGGGATGAAAACGCTTAAGTCACGTTTCACTAGCTTATGATTGTGTTTGTCCTGTCATCACCGAATTTCCTGCTGTTTGATGAAGTACAAAAGCAGTGTCATTTCGTCGTTGTGATTGGCGCTTCCCACCGTCGGCGCGCGAAGTCTCCCCTGGGAACCGTTCTAATTATAAATCTACTCGGGAAAGGGTTGACTCCAAGGGCTTGTATGGGAGATGGAGGCCCCATGTTATGGGCTCCTGGTCACTCCCAAACACGCTAATTGTTTTATTGTTCTTCATTGCCTCAATATGTAACGTTTAATATCTTCAACCGCTTTCTCCACTCTTTCACCACCACTTGTGCGATAGGGAACATGAGGTAATGCTTGACTTTTGTTTGTCACCAATGCTCCATCACGGGGAAAATGAGCAGAAAATTTCACTTCCCACTTCCTGTTGCGATACATGTCTATAAAGGACATCGACATGTGGTGAGTACTGGGATCCCGACTCATCTCCACCTCTTCCCTCATGGCCATATCTTTCAACATCAGAACTACGTGCTTGAGCTTTTCCTCTCCACTTTCAGTGGCGTACCACTGACTCAAAGACGTGTGAGCGACTTGAACCTGTGGTTGTCGAGTGTGTACCGGGTACTGCTGAAAGTGTGACACAGGTGGCTGGTTTGATCGGACATAAACCGGATTCCCTCGCATCTCCCGTCCAGTCGCGGGCAATCGATGTTGTGTCCCCGAGGTTCCCGGCGAATACGAGTCAGAGTTGGCGTGCCGAGCAGTTCCAGTTTATTGTACAGATTTTCTCCTTGAAGCGCTTCAACTCTCTCTTCCCCGTGTGACTTTCCGTCGACGAAAAGAAAAGGATAGGCCGCTTCTGCAGTCACTTCAAGAATGACAAATATTTTTGCAGGTCTGGACCCTTTGTACTTAGATAGAAGTTCTTCTCTGGAACGATGATCAGGGTTTGCTACACGCCATTCCCCGATGTGGCACAGCCTGTAATTTTTGAAAAAGAATGTTTCAACACCGTCCATATACTTGCCACTCTTGCTTATTGCAACATGAACGACTGGGTCTCCAGTGCTGGTCCACTGGCCGTACAAACTCCCACCGGTTGCTCTCAAAGGATCGGCATCTCTCTTGAGTCTCTCGAGATCTTCCTTAAAAATATAAGTAGTAAAGGCCATCTTGTGTTTGTAAGAAAGTGAAACCACTACCGTCTCTCTGTGCGAGCAAAAAGTAGGATCAGTTGTAATCTTCACTATAGAGGCACCTTGTTCTTTGAATGCCCGATAGTTTAAAATGTGTTTTGTGAAAATATACAGCGCCTAGCTCTTGCAAATCAAAGCAAAAAAGTGAAGCCCTGCTATTCAATATTGTTCTCCTGATTCCAAGAATTGTTTTTAACTGGTGTGTGTTTTTTTAGAATGACGGGTCCAATCATGTTCCGTATTTTCGTGGTAATGACGTGACCAGTAGTTGTCATATGCAAATCAGTTAATAAGTCCTTCCCCCATCCATGAAAAGAAACGCACTGTTCACAGCAGTGAATAAATTTTATCATGTATGTTTCTGCGCAGTTGCTGCCTAGAAATTATATTCTTGCTTTTCATCTTCGCTGCTCGTTTCAGCAGCTGAGCCAAAATGACTTTTAACCAAATTTGAGCATCAACCGAAACATCACGGCGATACGTGACCGGACGCTTTGTTTTTAGACGGAGAAAAATAGCAGTAGAATAATAATGATAAGTAACTAAATACAGCGAAATTTAGTTTCACATTGCGCTGATCAAATTTCGACCGAGCCGACAAATTTTTAAAAAGCTAGGCGGTCCATTAGCTAGGTTCCGTGTAAACAGAACACCCAAATGCCCGGTTATCAATTTTAGATTTGTACTTTGTAAGCTTCCAATTTCGAAACGCACAAAAGTAGATATTTATAGCCTAGAGGCTCGTTTTTTGTACTTCTTGTAGGTTTTCGCATTGCAAAATTTCTTTTTCCAATCAAAGAGTGGGGTAAGAAGGTTAAACTGGGTCAATTTTAGCCATTTTGAAACGCTGAACCCCTACCAGACGGCGACTCTGCGTGACAATCTGTTCCGTGACTGCACGTGACATAACGTACGTTTGAAGAGACGAAGCCGTTAAATCACGGTAGTAACGCAACGCAATTCTTGAACGAGTAACATTTTCGATCCCAACAGTATTTTGAAGAAGAAAAAGTCAAACGAAACGCACTTTTTCTGGTACTCACTTTTTATCGAGACATATGGACTTTAACAATGGTAATTCGCTAAGGATGACGGAACAGGAAGATATTTCGTCTTCTTACTTTACGATCGTGGAAACTTGGAGCCGTTAAATAACTTATTTTGGTCACGCTTTACTATTTTTACCGGACTTTGATGCTTTCGTTTGGAGACTGCCTAAAGGAATCCAAGCCAATTCTCAGGTATGCTTTAGATGAATTTCTAAATGTGTGAATAAACGAGGGCCGGGAAAATTTGGACCTATACCACATGAAGAAAAATGCCGCAGAAAACAACTACTAAATTAAAGTTTTTGTCACCGTAAAAACCTGTTCTTCGTTTCTGAATTATGTTAGTTCAACGAGTCTTAATATTGCTTTGAAAGTATCTTCTAGTAAAAGAAGAAGAGTTGTTCTATTGATGGAAAATGTCCAAATTTCTCCTTGTGGCTTTATTTGCGAACGCGAGAAGAGTTGATGTCAGCAAATTTTGGGTTGAAAATACGGCCATTTTGAGACTCGGACCTCTGGCTCGAAAACTGATATTCTCGCTTTTCTCGAAAATAAAAGGCTTTTTGAGAGACCTTCTGCAGTAATTTTAGACTTCTTCTCCGGTACGTCTTCGTTGGGAAATAAAATACACGCACTTTAACTATAAATTTAAATCAATATAACGATGCCAGTAAGATTGTGTTTTGAAAATAAGAATATTCTATCATTTAGTTATACAAACAAAAAAAAATAACAGCAATCGGTGTGAATTCTGATTTTTTTCACCTTATTTTGATGGTACACTGTTTGTGTACATTTCATTATGCAAAAAATATAACATTTTGGCGTTTTAGAGAAAATCTAGCCTAACTCCCCAACCCCAAAATAGCACGAAATGGTACGTTATCAATACACCTTTTAAATAAATCCTAGCTTCTGTTGCAAAAAAATCGCATTTATTCCTAAATGATACCATTTTGTGGATACTATATTTGTTGATATGCTAATTTGTGAGACATTTCATTCATGAAGGATGTTGACTGAGACCAGCTTCTCCTATGTATTGAACCACATTCTTGTTTAGTGCATCAGTTTTTGCTTGATAATTCTTCCATGATGTACAACTTACACAAGGGGCTCCCTCAAGTCAGAGTTGGATAACATGGTGAAGAATGGTATCCTCGCCAAAGTAACAGAGCCGACATGATGGGTCTCTAGTCTCGTTATAGTCAAGAAACCTAACGGGAAAATACGAGTATGTTTAGATCCTCGAGATCTCAACCGTGCAATCAAACGCTCGCATTATCCACTTCCAACTATTGAGGAAGTCGCAACTCGCCTTAAGTGGTGCCAAAGTCTTTAGCGTGTTACATGCTAAATGTGGATTCTGGCAGGTCAAACTAGATGAAAAGAGCAGTTATTTGACAACTATGAACACAGCTTTTGGCCGCTATCGCTGGCTCAGAATGCCATTTGGTATAAACTCAGCCCCAGAAGTATGGCAACAGCGAATGCATGAGCTAGTAGAAGGACTTACAGGTGTAGAAGTCATCGCCGATGATTTCCTAGTTTGCGGTTTTGGAGACACTAATGAAGCTGCAATAGCTAAGCATGATCAGAATCTCAAAGCTTTCCTCAGACGCGCAAGAGAAAGAAACCTCACTCTCAACAGCGAGAAGTTGAAGCTTCGACAGTGACAAGTTCCTTTCATAGGACACCTCCTCACAGCTGAAGGTCTGAAACCCGACCCGTCAAAGGTACAGGCCATAGTTGACTACCCAGTGCCTACCAACCTCGCAGAACTGAGAACGTTTTTAGGAATGGTGCAGTATCTGGCAAAATTCTGCCAACATCTGTCTACAGCATCCCAGCCTTTAAGACAGTTGGAGAAGAAGGAAGTTGAATGGCATTGGCAACGCCCTCAAAGTAAAGCCTTCAACGAGATAAAAGATCTCGTCACTAAAGCCCCAGTTCTACGGTACTTTGACGTCAGTAAGAATATAACTATATAGTGCGATGCCTCACAGTACGGTATTGGTGCAACTCTGCTTCAGGAAGGACAGCCCGTCCACTACGCAAACAGAGCACTGACCACTACAGAGCAAAACTACGCCCAAATAGAGAAGGAGCTCCTTGCTGTTGTGTTCTCTTGTGAGCATTTCGAACATTACATTTATGGCAAACACGTCACAGTTGAAACAGACCACAAGCCACTAATTGCTATACAGAAGAATCCAATCAACACAGCCTCTAACAGCGTATGATGCTTCGTTTGCAAAGATTTGACCTGAATCTTACTTACAAGCCTGGCAAAGAGATGTACATTGCTGACGCACTTTCTCGCGCTCTACCTAAGCAGTCAAAGATATCAAGCACCTCACACTTTTGTAACGATCTAGAAACTGTCAACTTTGTTGAAGACTTGCCGATGTCTGACTCAACACTTGCGAAGTTTCAAGTAGAGACGGCCAAAGATGAATCTCTACAAGTGTTGTCACAAGTTATACGCGCTGGTTGACCTACGAAAACTTCGATGGTACCAACTAGCGCACAGCCCTTTTTCAAATATCGAGGCGAGATGACACTCCAAAATGGCCTAATATTAAAAGGAACAAAGATAGTCGTCCCAGAGAGTCTTCACCGATGTTTGTTGGAGGAAACACACAAATCTCATCAAGGACTGCAAGCATGCCTTCGAAGAGCTAGAGAAGTTTTCTTCTGGCCAAGGATGTCTGCGCAACTCAAGGATCTAATTGATAAGTGTTCTATATGCCAAAGTGTCAAACCTGAACAAGCTAGTGAACCTCTTCAGCCTCACCCAGTTCCTTACAGGCCATGGCAACGAGTTGCAACTGATTTTTTTACCTTTGAGAACCGCAACTACCTTGTATTAGTTGATTACTACAGCAACTTCATTGAGCTGGACTATCTTGCTAACACTTCGTCCCAGACAGTCATTCACAAACTGAAGATGCATTTTGCAAGGCGTGGGGTACCAGATTATGTTGTTTCCGACAATGGTCCGCAGTATACATCTTCAGAGTTCCGAAGATTTGCAACAACTTGGAAGTTCGAGCATGTCACCACCTCACCGCACTACCCACAAGCTAATGGGATGGCCGAAAGTAATGGGATGGCCGAAAGTGCAGTCAAAACATGCAAGACAATAATGAAGAAAGCTCTTCAGTCAAAATCCGGTCCATATCTTGGTTTATTGGATCACCACAACACTCCTACTGCCGCGACAGGTATGTCACCCTGCCAACGTCTTTTTGGTCGCTGAGCTAAGACACTCCTACCCTTCTCAGAACCTCTTCTCAAGACTGAACAAACAGTTAGTGACCTTCTCAAGACGCATCGTGTCAAGCAAGCAAAGTATTTCGACCAGCATACCAAACAATTCTCAGAACTCAAGTCAGGTGACATGGTGCGCATGAAACTGCCTGGTGGAACACAGTGGTCACAAGCAGTTGTTTCTTCTAAAATTGCACCTCGAAGCTACAAGGTTGAAGTCAATGGTAGATTCTATAGGCGTAATCGTAAAGCAGTTGCGTTCTACCAAGGAACCACTTCAAGAATCTCTCTCTGAAATGGACGAAGATGACCTAACAACTTCAAACAATCCGCCGGAACAGACCCAGCGCTCTCCTGCTAGTACTCAAACAAAAGCAGCCACAACCCCACCTAGACCTCACCTTTTCCTCTCACCTCGAACAACAGAGCTGAGTGCAAGACCGCCTCAAGTAACTACGACAACTGAGATAAGGACGAGATATGGACGATTAATCAAGCCACCCTAAGAAGTTTGATATTGAGTCACAGTGGTGAACATTTTAGCCTGTACTTACTTTTTTAAAAAGGGGAAAGATGTTATTGTATCTAGAACTTTCTGGAATTCATCTACATTTGCTTTTTGGATAAGAACATTCTAGAATGTCAGTTTGCTAA